ACCACTTACAGACCATTCTCACTTAATAAATTGGTCATAAAAGTAAAAAACATTGCTTGCATTGTTTAATCAACAACTCAAAACTTATTCAAACTTATTTGTTCAATCATAATTAAAGACTAAGAAAACCAGAAAAAGGTGTATGAGTGAGAAGCATAGAAGCTTTCATATTCTCATAAAAAAAAATCAAAACTTTAATCAAAAAAGGATATGGTTTTGTGAATGAAAGTTAGAACAGCTCTAAAACAAATGTAGACTTTTGTTAGGTTAGTCATTTGGTCTATAAAATGTAATTTGTTCAACATAGTGACTGTTTATAGTCAGCTGTGACCCCCTAATTGTTCTTGCATGTGCAGCTGTAAACCAGAGTTTACAACCTGTCCCAATAGTGTATCTTATCAGCAGTGTTGAGAAAACACACTGTACACTGAGCTCCATGTCAACTCATCTTTGTTTCTGGCAGTTGATGGCAAGTTCTCTTCATATCCGATGGAGCCAAGGAAATGACATCACGTCCCTGCAGGGAATGAAAGCGCAGCCCTGACAGGACTGTCATGACAAAAGAGTTCCTTGGGAACATCAGGGTGAACCGAGGACCGGGAAAAAAAAGTATCTGGAGGCTGTGTTTTCTTAGTTCCTGTAGTTCCCAACTCCCACTTCTAGCCCATCAACCATTTTCTGATGTTTGAAATTCCCCTCTCACATGTGTGCCTTTTTTTTTTACCCTGAATGTAGGGCATGTGGGCGGGGCAGAAAGTCCTCCAAATTAGCAGTTACTGAAAGACTGGAAGACGAATCATTGTGTTGGCTAGATCCTGCTCAACATCTCTATTTCACTTGTAGGTTTTCAGCTTACACTTGGACTTGCGCATTAGTTTTGTTCCAGTCTTATTTGATATGTATGTATGCACTCTTTATCTCTCTTCTCGCCATTGACAATCGAAAATAAATTAACATTCCTGGGCTTTATTTTTGTCTTCACTAAGCCTGTGGAGAAAACTTGGAGGCGAACCCAGGAGGTCAGGCCATACTCACAGGCTGTCAATCCTCTGGGTGACCCAACCGCCCCTTTCTCTCTCCCCCTTCCATTCTTCTCCTCCTCTGCTCTCCTTCTCCCATCCATTTAGTCCCTCCCGGCTTAGAAACTCCCAAACTCCCCCCTTCTCTCACTCCTTTTCACTGGACGCCTCTCCAGCTTGAGTGAGGCAGACACAAGCTTTGTCAAAGGAAACTCACATTCATTCAGCCGGCTGTTGCACACAGCCTTGTATTTCATGTGAAGACATGTGGGCTGTCTCCTTCTATCCATTTATTTTAATTATGTTTTAATTGCTTGCCGTCCTCTTTTAAATGCTTGCTTATTATTTCTATCGGGCTGATGTGAAAAATTGGCTGCGGACTGTGATTCTCTCCATTATCTTAACTGATGATAGATGTCTCTCCTTGGGTTTCCACTGTGTATGCATGGCAGACAAAAGAAAAACAGATGTCTTGAATGTTTCCCTATCATTTTTCATTTCATTGGTGGATTTTTTTGGGGTCTTGTTTCCAGAAAGACATACTGTTAATAGAGAGAGAAACCCTGAGGGAATATGCATATGTACTTGTGTTTTTCTAGGAAGAGGACCCAAAGGCACAGATACAGATGAATAGCTTTTATTTAGTCAGTGGTTTTCTGGTGTATATTAAACGTTTGTGCTCATAGATTTAGTGTAGGTGGTGACAGTTAGTCATAACTGCGAACATTTTCTTTTCTTTCAACATATTTGCCTTGAACATGATGATCATTACACGCAAATTGCTGGCCAACACACACGTAACCTCAATTCTCAAGCTTCGGCGGGGAGGGGGTTGTCATAGATAATTCCGTAGCACCATTTCAGAGGGGTTAACGATGCCTCACTTACCAATCATTTTCTGCTTGAGAACATCTGAGCCCCCCACAGCCGCCCTCCCCTTTCCCCTGATGTAAGATCATGATAAGACTGTCAGTGCTTGTGTAGAGGATCTTTTTTTTAACACTTTATTTATTGGTCCCGCCTACCCCTACCTCCAACACCTTTGAGATGTGTCTGAATATGTGGCACGTCTAATGAGTGGCACTGCTCCGTACGTTTCCATGCAGGAGGGTTGGCTAATTCTGTCTGCCAGAGCCATAATGTCCTGAACTGAGCAACAATGCTGAAAATCAGGAAGCTCCACGCTAGTATGTGTTTATAAAGAATGTTCATTAAAAAAGATAAATGTACATATCATTCTCTCTAATTAAAAATAATAAAATCTTATGTACAGAAATGGGAAGGGTTTATATTGGAAACGTGCATCCATCTGTCCAAGTCCCTACCAACCTCTTTAAGAAGAAAGTCATGATTAAGTTAAGTTGGTGACACATTGAGTGGTCCACTGAAAGGGAATATTGGTCCTTGAGATCTTTTCGGCCATACCTGTAAAAAGGTTTTTCTTTTAGTCCGCTAATTTCTTCCTCTGTTGGTTTTTTATAGTCAGCGAGGCCAAGAAGTCGAGACTATCTGTGTGGTTAGCCTGCTTTTCTTCAATTTATTTGACCAAACACACAAGAGCTCGATTTTCATTGACAAGTGTTTCTACAGAGATGGTTAAAGTCTTCAGCGTGTGGTCCATCAGAGTTTGAATTTGTCAAACCCCTTTTCCATTTGATCAAGAAACCATGTCGGTGGTACTTCAGTGTTAGCCTCACAGGGCTAGTGCTATTGGTAGGCGTTTCAGTTCATTTCATCCATCCTTCGTCTCTGTTTTGAGCTTTTCCAGTTTAGTGGTATATCTTAATCTCAAATGGCAAAGAAAGTTGTCCCGAGCTTAAAAGAAACATAGTAGGAGTAAAGAGCAGGAGTTTGTGGAGGACCTGGTTTCTGCGTCTGTTTTCTACGCCGCCATGTTGGATCCCTCCTGTGTAGAGCATCTAAATGTTAATCGCCTAATCCCTTTATCTCAAGTCCAGAGCTATTCAGTGCAGAAATCCCACCAAACAAAACAGTTTTTGGGAAGATGAGCAGGGCTGTGTTCTCTACCAGCTTAAGGGAGAAAGGAGACATGTAACTCAGCAGGGAGACAGCCGATTGGGAGAAAGAACCCCGGGGTGGTGAGGGCAGGTCTGCATCCGAGAGGCCGGCAGGCTCTCGCCCCCTGGTGTCTGGAGGGGCTGAGTAGCTCAGCATGCCCAGCAGGCCAGAAGGGCAGGGGGGATGTCCCCCCCATCAGTTTCCAATCTCCTCCTGTCAACCACTATTATGGTTACCCGTAGCCCCAGGCCTCATATTTGCAGAAGATAAATGGCTGAGGAAGAAGTCACAAGTCTCTGGAGATTTGGTTTTCTGCCCAATATTAAACTGGTGGCAGTCCTGTAAGAAGACCTGAGAGTGTTAGCAGCCTTATTAGAAGTGTTGCAGGAGGGCTGGCAAGCACCAATTCTGTCTTATCTGATCTGGTTCGGTGCCACTGGCATATAAACAACTGGAAGATAAATATAACCACAAAAGCTATGAAAACCACCCACGTTTGACTGACAAATTATAAGTTAGCTGTATGTATGTTCCCTTGGCACAGACTGTGCTGTACAACTGCTCGACCAAGGTGATCTCAAATGAAAATAAACACTCTGCTGCTTGGTGCCGATCCGGTGGGCTTTTTTTTTGTACCGATTATCCCACGACCAGGCTTCGGTCATGTATAGAATACCTCATAGTGACTGAATTATTACTCGGTATGCTAATGTGAAAGCTTCCCATGTTTTGTGGGTTCTCATGTTGCCAAAAATATCCAAGCGATTAGTGGGGCCTGGAGAGCGATCAGAGCTGACTGCTGTGCAGCTCAAATGTAGGTTCATTATAAAATAATCAGGCTAGTAGACGAGTAGCTCTGAAGGAGCAGCATTCAGGCACTTGAAACATTAACTTGCATCTGCATAGCGACGGCTACTAAGTGACCGATCCTGTTTGCATTTGGGTGTGTGTGTGTGTGTGTGTGTGTGTGTGTGTGTGTGTGTGTGTGTGTGTGTGTGTGTGTGTGTGTGTGTGTGTGTGTGTGTGTGTGTGTGTGTGTGTGTGTGTGTGTGTGTGTGTGTGTGTGTGTGTGTGTGTGTGTGTGTGTGTGTGTGTGTGTGTGTGTGTGTGTGTGTGTGTGTGTGTGTGTGTGTGTGTGTGTGTGTGTGTGTGTGTGTGTGTGTGTGTGTGCGCGCATTGGGGACATGCTGGATGGCAACAAGATAGAAATAAACAAGATACAATATATTTGTGTGTGTGCTGTCTCTGCATCAGTGCCACATCTTCAGCAGTGTGTCATTGGTTATATGTTTGTGCAGGCATGCATATTTGAGTCAATGTGTGTTTGTGTGTGTGTGTGTGTGGCATTTCACATATGACACAACACATCCCTCCTTGGTGTTTGACTTTAGTAAGCAGCTTATCTGTCTGGTGTGTTCGTCCGTCTCTCAGGCTCTAACCTTTTGCAGCTTTTGCAGACAAAGGGCTGTTTTTGCCACCCCTTGATAAGGAAGGAGACAAAAGTAGCGCACAAAGCGACTGTGTCTCTAATGGCGTCCTATGAGAAAGTGTTGCCGGAGCGACAAGCTTTCTCCCGCGGGGAACCGGGAGTAAATTGCGAAGGTGGAACAGGGAAGATTGGGAGAATGAGGCAGTGTAAACATTGTGTTGTAACACGTCCCAGGGATCTGAATAAGTGCAAATAGAAACCCTGTCTGCTCTATTTCACGTCCTTGCCATCATACACATTTTAGATTTTTTATTTAATATTTATATGAAAACTTCTCCAAAATGCGTTTGTCTATTCATTTGAACAAGCAGTCAGAAATGTTCTTTCAGGGGGTTCGGATTTGATGTCTTGGAATGCACACATGCAGAATCCAGAAACAAAATAAATAAATGTGGTACCTAAGGCTGTGATGATACTCATGATAACAGTCCATTACCTCCACATTTATGGTCTCTCCTCTCTCTTTTTTCCAGATGAGGAAGATGACTGGTGATGCTTCTCTGAGAACTACTGATCGTTGACATCGCTCCAGCTTTCAACTTATCGTTGACATCGCTCCAGCTTTCCACTTTTCCACTGCAACATATTAAACCACTATTATTAGCAAAAAGGCTCCCTGGATCGTCTGCATACAGCGCACAATGGCCTCTGCACTGTGGAGGTGTCTGATGTTCCGCTGCCTCTTGCTTCTTCCCTTTTTGCTTCACTGTTCACAAGGTGAGTAACCATGGAGTTGCGTGGCGAAAAGTGTTAATGGTATTCTGGTCAACCTCTTTCAAAAGCCACTTATTATTCAGCTATGAATGTGTGGAATGTATTAGCACAAGTTTTTTTGTATGTCATAATTATTCTCCCTCAGTGGCTTTACCCTTGAAGAGTGAAAAATGTGTTTCAAACACTTTTACTAAACTAATTTTATTATTGCTAATTAATGGACACATTCACTGTCACATTGAATTCACTTTCAGGACAACAGTCAAACGGTGTGTCAAAGACCTTCCCATTAATATCTGTTCATAGCTGCACCTTTTCTGCTTAGTGAGCTATACAACAGAACGCTTAGAGGTATTTTGAGGTATTGTATTCCTTTTTTTTTTTTGCATAAACCAAATCATTCTGATGGTCGGGGTACCTGAAAGCATCAAAAGTACGGTACTTGATTCAGTGCCAGACGCTGAAACTAGGAAAGTATGTGTCAGTGTTTTTAATTGTCTGCAATGACATCCCAAGGCTCTTTTTTGGTTCCTTCTCTCATTTTTGATTAGTGCATTTGGCTGTAATTACAAGTATTGTCACAAAACACACCCGTCTGTTACATGCCCATCAAAACCACTGATGTTGGTATGTCTGCTTAATGATGATCATTAGATTTTCCCCTCTTTCATCCCCATTGTACTGGGGAAGAAAGTAACCCAAAATCACATGCTTGTGTGCCAAGCATTGATTACAGATAGATAGTTGAAGCACTGTATTTTTGGGGCTTCCCATTCAATTTGAATGTATCCTTTTTTCTCCCTTTGGCTGTTTTGTTCTGATAGATGTCTCTTTCCATTTTATTTTAAGCTATGTTGTATAATTAGTTAACAAAGACATATTGCAATAGAGCCCGCTATCCCAGCAGCTTTCCAGCAGAGATGCATTTTTTTTGTAGATAAGCAATGATAGATAATATTGCTGAGGCATTTGAAGAATTGAATAGTCCTGTTGGATTTCTTAAAGAAGAATACTGCTTGGTATGCAGAACGCTCAGGTTTTGGGTTTCACTTGATGCGAGGGCTCTCCGGTCTAAGAATGCATATTTGCCCATCCATCAATAAAGGTGTGTGTGTGTGTGTGTGTGTGTGTGTGTGTGTGTGTGTGTGTGTGTGTGTGTGTGTGTGTGTGTGTGTGTGTGTGTGTGTGTGTGTGTGTGTGTGTGTGTGTGTGTGTGTGTGTGTGTGTGTGTGTGTGTGTGTGTGTGTGTGTGTGTGTGTGTGTGTGTGTGTGTGTGTGTGTGTGTGTGTGTGTGTGTGTGTGTGTGTGTGTGTGTGTGTGTGTGTGTGTGTGTGTGTGTGTGTGTGTGTGTGTGTGTGTGTGTGTGTGTGTGTGTGTGTGTGTGTGTGTGTGTGTGTGTGTGTGTGTGTGTGTGAAAACAATATCTGATTCTATCAACATGCCACTCACTTCCAGTCTGCCCAGCCCTGAGGGCCTGCATCCTTATGATCTATGCTTCCATCATAGTGCCAGCAACAAAACTCCACTTGATAATTACCTCTTGTCCCTCACCAGGAGAGAGTCTAATCAGGTTATCGCTTTCACCCAAAACATTCCTCACGCTGAATGAAATGCTCAGCTCAAAGAAAGTGAGTTTTCCCTCTCTCAGTATTGACCTCAACGGCCAGTAGGAAGGATGAACCCCAGTTGGGCCTATTCTGACAAACTTCAGTTAGCGTTATTACCCTTTTTATCGCAAGGTCAAATAATTAAAGTGATGAACTGACAGTTTAAATATCTATTGAATCTGAAGCTCCCCTCGGTTTTATGGTATTAGCGAAGTTTACCTCTTTGTTTAGCTTCTTCTTTTTACACTGCTAAAGTTTTTTAGGAAAACGTTCTTAAAAACTCTCTGACCACTACCTTTTTAGCATCAAACAGCATACAGACAAAATATATGACTTTCTGCTGAACACATTGGAGAATTTAGTATCTTAAGAGACAATACCTCAGGAGTTGGTAGAGACCAAAACAGAGCTACAAAAATAATGAATATTTGCCTAACATTCAGCTGGTTGCCAGAATTCAGACACCAAATGCTAATGTTGTTCTCCAAGGGCAGCTTTGATATGGTGTAAAGGAAATAAATAGAAGAAACATTCACATTGTTATCACTGAGATGGATACAGTGAAAACAGTAATGCTAGATTGCATTCATGCTTTGCTTTCCCGGGAATTTCTTGTGTGTGAAGTTATTTTGAATCCAGCAATGGCACGTTGGACCCTTCACCTGACGCTTCAGATGGTTTGTTACGCAGAACATTCTGAGAAGCTGTCATTGAGAAAAGGTTTGGAAAAGGAAAGGCAATTTAAAAAAAATACTTGGCAGGTTATTGGAGGAACCATCTGTCTATTACCTTCTAACATGGGCTACTTCAACAAATCAGATCGACGAAGCAATCCTTAGCTGTAGTCAATCGGGAATACAGAGTGAACATTTTCTCTATTGGGAAAAGCCTTGCTCTTCTTTCTGTGAATACATACTCTCCAGTTGTGATAACTGATAATATCACAGTTTTAACACTAACCTCGTCAGTAGCCGGCATTGTTTTTTTGTTTTTTTTAAAACTCAGTGTCGGCTCACACCTGAAAATGTATAACTTTTTATATTATCAAAAATGGCTTTAAATTATCTAACTTTTTTATAATTCTTAATGACTCTATTTTAGTATTTTTAATTGGGTATAATGGAGAAGAGAAAAACATCACATGGACAATTCTCACTCTATATTTATATACTATTTGTAGGTCTACATTTTCTTTGGACTCCATTTTACTTCATCCTGGGGATGTTGTATAACAGATATGGACGCTCCTGCTAAAGTAAAGTAGGGCATGCAGATATCAGATTTGTTTTAGATGCATCAGACCGCCCAGTCCGCCATTATGAAAGAAGACTTCCAGATTCAAAGGGAGCAGCCACAAAGGTGGGGCATTTGCACAGCAACATATCTGCTGTGACTGAATGAAAGCTGTTATTTGAGTGTTTAAAGTCAAGAAAGCCAGGTTTGAGGGAGGATTAGGTTGCAAGTCTAGTGTCAACCCTTTAAGTTGATTGATGTGTTTAAAAGCCAAAAGCAGAGAAGGCACTTTGGCCTTCATATCTAAATATTGCACAAAAGGGAAAGATGAAGTGGTTTGTGTTATATCTGCAGAGATGGGGATCAGAGAAGTCAGTGTTTGTTTAGTATGGACAGAGAGAACAAATGAGGGACATAAATATTCAGTTTTTTAAATAATCAAGTCAGTAGAAATAAAAAAATCTTGCCTCAAGAAAAAAGGATAGATTCCTTTAAAACAATCTGCTCTGTTCTTTCTGTTAGTTTTGAATCTCCCCCGCACCGCTCTGGATAACACGCTGCACATTTCGCTCTAAGGGGGATTGTGAAATATTCCTCGGTTGAACATACCATCATGCTTGTGTTTCTCCAAAAGGTTGTAAAGGTTAACAATACGTCTGAGCACAACATTTGTCTCAAGCAGTGCCATACATTTAGCTGATGAAGGACCCTCCCTTGTGCCACACTGGCATTTCCAGTGGTGGGGTTGACTGAATGGAGAAGCCATTGTGCTCTAACTTCTCTCTGGCCTCGGGCCATACACATCCAGTCTGTCATCCATTGATATGCTTGGCTTGCCATTTTATAATTCATATTGAATGTCCATGCCAGGGCGATCATGAATTATCAGCTAAACCATGGGAGATTCACAGATGACTGGTCAATCTGTGAGGAAGAAAAAAAAAATCTGATATATCCGTCTTGCATGAAAAATCTGCCCAACTGGAAATATTTCAGACAAAAAGGCATGGGTTCATCATCTGGATTGAATGGACTTTTTTGCACCCATGGAGACAGACAAATGATCATATTTTGTCTCCTTTATTTTCAAAACAGTTGTGTAAGCGTTTGCTACAAGCCTCGCAGTATGCAGCTTTTCAGTCAATGTACGGCGCACCAGATGTATTTCTGTAAAGCATTGTACAACAATGTGCTATTTTAACAGTAACCGAAGAACTGGAAAATGTTGTGCGGGAATATGAAACCGAAATGAGCCAAAGACGGATGAATCTCAAGGATCAGTATTTCACTCAGAGGAAATTAAATACAATATCACCCCTGCTAGGGTCATCCTAGATTTATTGCAACAGCGATTTCCTGAGTTCGTTTTTTGTAAAGCCAAAGCAGCAAGAAATGTCTCCATCCAATATGTGAATGTGAGAGCAAGACTCTTTTCCCTTTAGATGAGAAGCTTGCTTTTTATTATGTGTTTGGACATGATCGTAAAAGCTGTTGTTGCATAGCCAGCTGATGAACAAACACTTTATTTATTCGACTAGGAGCAACAGTTTTCTGACAGTTTGATTTCATCTGTTAAGCACGCCTTAAATCTCTCTTGCTCGGAGCATCTTGGAGCCGTTCCATTCACACCCCTTATGGTAACAAGTTGTATAAACATTGGAGCAGATGCCTACCTCACTCTTTCCTTTCTTAAATGCTGTCCGCAGTTTTTTTCTCTCCAGGCAGCCTAATTCAAATAATAGATGAGTCCCGCTTACAACCACAAAGTAGTTTGCCTCAGAGTCTAAACTTTTGGATTTGCTCGGTGTAAGTCTGCTTCACAGGAGGGTTCAGCTGTCAAAACAACGTAATGCATTTAATCTTGAGTGGAAGCAGAAGGGTTTCGTATAAAATAAAGGCTACTCTATAGAAAGCTGTTGAGTTTTTTTCCTTTATCAGTGTGAGGGGAAGTTTTTGCCAACAATATAAATTCAGGTTTGGAACAAAGACAAAAGTATTTACGGAGGCAACAACAACCTGTTAGATTTCAGTGTGGTTCCATGTTTACCCCATACTTTTAAATAGCTTGGAGGCATGTCAGAACTAATTTCATTTGAAAAAAGAAAAAGCACAAGAGCTTAACAAACATTTTAAAACAAAAGGAGTCATTTAACACAGAAGGGA